CTACCACTTTAATGTTACTTTTATAAATGGTATATTTATGTTTTTGGGCAAACCCAAAATGTTTGAAGTTACAAAAAAACTTTTTTTGCAAATAACTCAGTGGGCACAATAACGTTGTTCAAACTTTTTGTAAGCGTTTAATGGTCACTTGAACGACGATGTATTAATTAAACTTTTTAAAAACGTTTTAATAAGTTTTTTTTTATCAATTAATTTAATATTTCACAGGACCTTTAAAAAATGTTTGAAAAACGTTTTTTGTATTATCTATTTTATATATATATATATAAATATATATATATATATATATATATATATATATATATATATATATATATATATATATATATATATATATATATATATATATATATATATATATATATATATATATATATATATATATATATATATATATATATATATATATGTATATATATATATAACAACTTTTTGCAATTTTTTAGACAAAAATTTTAATTTAATATGCGTGCTAAACATTGTCAAATGAAATTTTCAGCGTCAAATGAAAACAAGGAGCTAATCGGCACTAAGATTTACGCGCAAAGTAAGATTATAATAATCTATATGAAACAAAGTTATAATAGCAGATGATAATAATTATTATAGTGCTGTTTAGCTCCTTGTTTAAATACTATACCGAAAAATTTGCTTTAGTGTTGCGAAAAAAACAGGCTCATTGTGTCCCTTATAATTTAAATGTATTATTTAAATCATAGGCGCTCAAATAAGTCTTATATTGTGTAATTTACTTGTAAAACATGGTGAATTTGTATTTAAGTACATATAAATTTTTACATAAGTACTTATTTAATAATATTAAATAAATAAGGGTTTTGTAAGTTCGAAAAAACATTACATTAAACAAAAACTAGCAAATGTAGGGCTAAACAAAAGGTTCGCGTAAACTTATACATTTATACGTTAAAAAATTTTAATAAAGAAAAATGTTCGGTAAACTTCCGTATTTTTTATTGAGTGTTTGAGGTGGACGTTCAAGAACAATCAAACGTTTGCAGTGAACATTAAGTAAACGTTTACTGTTTGTTATTTGAACGTTTATATTAAATGTTTAAGAACGGGTAATCGGAGTTCACAAAAGTTAATTCACGTAACGTTTGCCGCGAACGTTACGCGAACCTAAAAGACCAATGTAGCAACATTTCTCGAACGTCAAATTGTGTATACACAATTTTCCAGAACTTTTACAGAACGTTCATAGAACGTACTTGAACGTTCGTAACGTTCTTCAATCGTGCTCGAACGTTTTTTAGAAGCTGGGATAGTATAGAGCTTGAGAAGACTTAAAAAATAATGGGTCATTCGACCTTATGTTATGGAACCTTAAGTAATGGCACCAAAAATAATGGGTCAATTGAGCTTATGCTATGGCACCACATGTAATCGTCCTTATGTGTTATGGCACCGACAACGAGAGAATTTTTGGGTCGTATTGACTATTAAATCATTTTTAAGCCGTTATTACTTTTGATTTGAAATTTTCCATAGTGACCAAAAAACTATAAGAAACTAATTTTTTTTTCTTTTAGTTTTTTGGTCACTATAGAAATTTTTAAGTCAAAAGTAAAAATAAATAAAAAATAATAATTTTTTTTTTTAAATCTGTTGGGATCCAAAATTGTCTAGTTTACAGACTGAGAGTTTTTACTTTTTTTACTGGTTTTGGTGCCATATTGACTTTGAATTAGTTTTGAAACTATATTTAATTTGACTTGCAATTTTCCATAGTGACTCTTAGAAAATAAAATTTTATAGACAGAGGGTTTTTACTTGTTTACTTAATTTAAGAAAATAAAATTTGAGGTTATATTACAACTAAACCATCAAAATGATACATCATTTTCAATTTATTGTAAAATTCACTGACCGGTCAGTAAAATACTGCAAAAGCGCTGCTCAAACTAATTTAGCATATCGACTTTAAATTTATTTGATACTTTGGAACTGTAATTACACTTTACTTCATTTTTTCCATCGTGATCTCAAATTTATATGATTAAGAAAATTAAGTGCCAATTTTTTATATCTGTCTGGATTATACAAAATTGTTTATTTTACAGACTGAAAGATTTTTATTTATTTATGTTGTTTTAGAAAACAAAATTTAGGGTTATATTGTAAAAAATCCATTCAAATATGTATAAAGGAATAATAGAATCTAATTAATACATATTTAAACAACTCCTTAATTTACAGACTAATCAGTAAATTACTGCGTAAGGGTATTAAAATATTTCAAAATTTTTCAGAATTACTTATTGAACAGACTGAAGATTCTTTATTAAATTTAAATTTTAAATGAAAATAACTTACAGCAAATGAACTACCTGAAGTTTTTAGTACTTATAACAGCAATAGCAGTATAACAGCAGGAACTCATACCTTAAAATGGAATAAAATTATTATTGAAAGCACAGTTTGTTATGTATTCATTTAATTCGTTTTAAAAATTCATAATAATAAATTAAAAAACCTATAAATTTAAAACAAAATAAGTATAAAATAAAAAACTCTTTCAGATTGTTCATGTAAACTATATGACAACGCTTAAGATTAAAAATGAAAATAACATAAAAAAATGTTTTTTTCTTAAACTTAACTTTTGGCTTTAAGTGCATGATTAGAAATAGTAAGTTTCAGTAACAAAACAACCTAATAATCATTTTTACCGATAGACGTCAACAAGAAGGTAAGGCTAGTTGTCTATCAACTCAAAACATAACAACATCATCACAATCACAAAACACATAGACTATGTGGCACTAAACGCTGCTAAATCACACTAGTGTGATAGAGAGATGTGCTAGGTACACCACGTAGTTAACTCTAATTCTCAGCCCTTTACTGAATATAGTTCATATTATTAATCGTCCTGAAAAGCTCACCGCTGGCTCCATTTGCTAATGACATGAAAAAACAAATGGATTCAATCATCTGGTATGAAGGCCAATCTTTAATAACAATCATGCGGTAGTGGTGTAGTGGTAGAGCGCTCGCTTCATAAACGAGTGGTTCCGAGTTCGATCCCCACCACGTCCCTGGTAGTACCGCGCTCAACTTGTTTCTCCGCGTAGCGGCCTTGTTCGTCAAGGTTCGTGTTTCGGAGTTATAGAGTTGAGAGAGGGTTATAGCCACAAATAAGTAGCCTCCTCGTCTGTAGTGGCCTTCTCGGCCTTGAGAAGGTGAATTTAAAAAAAAAAAAAAAAAAAATCTGATTTTAGAGCTGACCTATTAACTGTCGCAACAGATGTTGCCATTGCTCTGGATATCAAAGGCTTTCGGTAAAGCTAGCATGTTGGACTTATCGATAAGCTTTTTTTATATGATGAAAAGGCCAATCTTTAATAACTATAACTAGATTCTAGCCTAGAACCAAACTTTCAGTTTTGATTAATTATGCAGCGAGAATGTCAATAAAAAAATATTGAATTATTAAATTTAATTTCTTGAAATTTTAAAAGTTTTACTTTAATTTCATTTTCAGATAAAAAGTAAGAATTTAAATCATTTAGTAAATGTGAATATGAAAATTGTTTTTACTTTGACAAAATTTTTGTCTATATATTGTTTTCAAAATATTTGAAACCTAGCAAAAAAAAAATGGATGAACAAAACCAAGAATAAAATTAAAAGTTGTGCATTATTTTCATAAAATGAATTTTCCTATTTAGCTACTATTTAAATTGCTAATTTAGTATAAAAAAGACATTAAATTTTAAAACACTTAATTTACCAAAATTAACGCAAAATACTTTTGTTTGATTTGATTTTGTTTGACGTTTGACAAAAAACGTCATAAAACACGCGTAAAAAAAAACCTTTGATACATAATTTTTAAATAAAAATTATAAGAATCATATCTTTAGAAAAACATAAATAAACACTTGGTTTGAAAACTTGAAATGATATACTTTCTTTTTAAAGAACACTTTAAAGGGGTCCTCTAGAGGAGTCTTAAAGGGGTCTTGAAGGGGTCCTCTAGAGGACCCCTTTTAAAAAAAAAGACTTTTTTATCAATAAATTGACCCTTAAGTATTTAAAGGATGAAAACTAAAACATTTTGTATGAATTTAAAAAAGATTCTCCTTTCTATTTGATTCCTTATCCTTTTTTTACTATACCTGGAAAGTTTCAATCAAATTAGAAGTGTCTAGATACTTAGAATATCTAACCTTTAAAAGCTTTGTTAAAAAAAAGAAAACGGTCCCTTGGCGATTTTTTTTATGAAAAGTGGTCTCAACATGCGAATAATATGTAAGTCAAATAAATCATGGCAATTTCTAGATATGGTTAGAAAGAGGTTGAGTAAAACTATATGATGTAATAAAACCTCAAGATAAATGCTTAACCATACAAAAAATATAAAAGAGCAAAATCAAATATTTATTTTTGCAGAGTGGAATCGCTAGCAAAGCAAATATAATACCCCTCATCTGATTATATTAATACGCTAATTTAATATTATTAGAATTACGTCATTTTCTAGGCTTTTCTATTTTAAAGTAGTTTCTAGGCTTTTCTATACGCGGTTTTTTTTTAATTTTATTTACTAACAACGCGTATTACGGGTTGCTTACTGCTAGTTTCTATAAGTTCTATAATATATATATATATATATATATATATATATATATATATATATATATATATATATATATATATATATATATATATATATATATATATATATATATATATATATATATATATATATATGTATATATATATATATATATATATATATATATATATATATATATATATATATATATATATATATATATATATTTATGAATGAGGTTATTTTCTTCGTTTATTTTTTTTTTATATTTAGTTTTTTTTTTGTCTGTTTCTTTTTTAAATTTCTGTTTGTTTTCTCGTCCTTCTACTTTTTTGAGTTTGTATTGTTTACACGGTCGCTATTCTCATTTTAACCATGTAATATGAGAGTATGCCATTCAGATGATATTATGTTATTTCAGAACTTTATAAAATTTATGATATTTACTCGTTAATATTTTGTTGCTGTTGTTCTTGTTGACTATTATTCGTACTTAAAAATGGTTTATGGGCAAAAGCAAATAAATTTGAACATTGTCAAAGATTCAATTATAGGTATTGTTGGTTATTTTAAGTTTAATAATTCAAATAGAATGTTTCAAATTTCTAGATAAAACGTATTATTTAAAAAAATTATTAATGAATAACTAATTTTTGTTTAGTAGTATAATATATATTTAATTAATATACGTGTTATATATGTCTATAACTTAAAAATATATACTGTACATAAATTATATGCATATTATATAATAAACAAGACTAATTCTTGTATTTGTAAGCTAGTATAATTCCTATTTGATGACTAGTTGACAAAAAGAATAATTTATTAGTTGTACTAGGCAGATTCGACTAGTCAACTCTAACAAATATAAATAATAATTGTGTTTATAAATAGTTACACAAATGCTTTAAATGAAGAAGTTACAATTATATTGTTTAATACATTGTTATGTTATAATACTTTAGCATTGTTTTAGATGAAGTACATTATATTATCATACTTGAAAATAGGTAAAATGGGGCCTAGCAATATGTATTATTAGATAATACAGACCAAAGGTGATAGCTCTTAAGTGATATATTTAACAACAAAGCAACAATTAAAGTGACAATAAAACCGAACTTTTTTAAGAAACAACTTTATATTGTACCAATGATAGTGTAAATGTCGAGCAACAGTCGTTTTTAATTTATTTGAACCTTAAAAAAGGTTTTCCGTTTAATCCGATGCAGATGCCTTTGCCTCAGATGAAAACCGTTTGTCATTCAGAGATTGATTACAAATCTAGCATTCAATTTTTTTAATAAATAAAGTTTGTTACAATTACTAGGTTGTCTTGAAGAGGACAAATTAGAAAATTTGTTTGACTAGGAAATTGCTCTAAGTATAGATGGGCTATTTATTTAGTGGATTTTATATTAGTTTCATTTAATAGTTTCATGTTTCAACTATGTAGAGCGGGGGTTAATGAATTATACCAGAGTATTAATTATTAATATGTTCATTTTATGTAGTTTGTATAGGCTTTTGTGGTATCTATTTATGTGGTTCGTGTATAATACTGTTACTATATATGGAATTGACAGTTTTTAACAGTGTAAATCTTTTATAAAGGATATATTTAGGTAATTTATAAAAAAACTAGCTAGTTCAAAACTACAAAGAGCTTTCGTTTTTTTAATAAAATAGTTTAAATCTTTTATTAGAAAATTTTAATTAAGAAAAAATATTTTTTATTTTTGATGAAGTATTGTAAAAGTTAAAAAGGACGTGTATATTTTTTTGTACACGTCTTTTTTAAGTTTTTATAACTTTTTTAACTGTTGTATTTATTGTAAAAGTTAAAAAGGACGTGTACTTTCACTGAAACTACACATAATCAAATTTTTTGTCATTGTAGTTGTTTTGTAAGTATATTTAAATTAAAATGATCTGAATTATTGTTAGTGTCTTTTAAATCACTAACTAATATTAGGAAGCATTAGTTGAATATATTATAAAAGATTTGTTAAGATAGATTATATTGACAAAGATGATAAGACTCGTTTAGTCTTCTCGTAGAAGAATAAATGAGTCTTATCATCGAGAATGTTGGGGTATTACGCAAGATACACATAAACATTGTGATTCTTATGCACAAATATTACAAATATTGTTGTGATAAAATTTTGTTTTGTTTTTTCTTGTTGTATTGTGATTTGCGTGTGTGTATTTTTTCTTTTTTATTTATTTTTCTTTTTTTTTTTTATTATTTCCTAGATATAAATATATCTTTTTGAAATATTTTCTAGATATAAATATAAATATGACTTTTCTCTCGTTGTAGATTTTTTAGTTCAAATTTTGATTTATCATGTTAACTAGAACAATTCTATGTAATTATTTATATTAAGTACAAGTTTTTTAAGTTTGATTTTAAATAAAAATTTTTGTCAGGAAGAGTAATGAAGGTGTATTTTGGAACTGATATGTTATATAAATAGGGGCCGCAATAAGAGATAGATAATTAAGAGTTTTTTTTCCGGGGTACGATAAAGATACCAGTTGCTCTTGTGTTAAACCTATTGGTTTAACACAAGAATTGTATTAAACCTAATTAAATAAAAAAGTTTTCTGAAAATTGTGAGGGAACTAATCCCATTTTGAATTTTAGCATTATCAGTATACTAGCATATATATTAACTTGATAAATGTGTAGCGTTTTCATTTCCTTTAATAGAGGTTTAGCATATGTTTGTTTTTATGATATATTATTCTAAAAGCATGTTTCTGTCGTCGATAAAAAGTCATTAACTTTTATTTTGCGTGTGCTTCCCCAAGTTATTTTAACGTATGTATAATAAATTATCTTTTTTATTGTAAGTACTAATATTTTTTAGTATGAGTTTTTTTTAAATGTAATCAGCTTAGCCGATTGGGTGCATTATGGTTGAAATATAATAATTATATCACGGACACTCAAATAAGCTAGATATGATGTAACTCTGTTGTAAAACATGTTGAATTTGTAATAAAATACAAATTAATTTTTACTTGAGCACTTATTAATTAATTAAACAATTATTAAATAAAGGCTATGTGAGTTTAAAAAAGGACTGCATTACGTAAAAACTAGCAAATGTAACTTTAAACAGAACGTTTGTATAAACCTATAAATGTTTAATTAAAAATAAAAAAATAAAAAAAAGCGTTTAGTAAAACGTGTTCGTTATTGCGTGTTGGAGGAGAACGTTCAAGAGCTATTAAAAGAACGTTTGAAATGTGAACCGCAAGTAAACTTTTGCTGTTTGTTATTTGAATGTTTGTATTTAAAGTTCAAGAACTGTAAATCGGAGTTCACAAAAGTTGATTTACGAAAACGTTTGCAGCAAAGGTTACGCGAACCATAATTAACGTTGAGGCAACGTTAATTTTTAATTGTGTATACTCAAATTTCCAGAAAAAAAAACAGAACGTTCACATAACGTATTTGAACGTTCGCATCGTTCGTCGAATGTGTTTGAACGTTTGTTTAAGCACGTTTAATTCCCTTCTCTTTGCATATAGATTCTCATTATAAACAATTTTTGATAAATTATTTGAAACATTTAATGTTTCCTTGTTGTTACATTTCTTATTTTTAAAAATTGCTAAGTCAAGTTTTTCTTTCAATGACAAGTTTACAGCGTTGTCAACAAAATCGTTCTCAGAAGAAACGTGAAATGGAGAGGATTATACGCTTTCTAATTTATCTGATTATTCAGTCGAGCAATGGTATTTACAATGGTATTACAATTAGCTGATTTGCTATGGTGCTCAAAAGAGAGCGCTAGATCCAAATTCTCTTAACTTTGATGGCTTTTGTGAAGACATTGTAGTGAGCTGGAAAAAGATGTACGTCGCTTGTTGAATTGTCGCATCAAGATAACTTTTAACTTTAAATCTAAATCGGTTAATCCAAGGTTATCTATTATAAACATTAGCGTTTTATCGGCTGACAACATTGTTGCATCATTTCAGCACAATGTTTCCACAGCCAATTTTACTGTCTCAAGACATGAAGCAACACCTGAAGTTGCATCGATCTTCTTATCAGTTACCTAAATTCTAGATTTAAGATTGTTCAGTGTTTTGCGAAAGGAATTTTCAATTTTACAAACGTTCGAGCATTATGTGCAAGCTACTCCAGCAAGTTTTTGAGTCAAGTATTAGTTGAAGGCTTTTACCAAATATGTCTTATGTGCATTTTTGAAATGTATGATCATTTCTTGTTGAAGAACAGCAAAGCTATTTTACAACGATGGGCACCTTATTGAATAACGGCTGCAAATCATCAGCCAATTCCTTAAAATCATTTTTTTAACTCATTACAACTTGAAACTTGCCGAAAAAGTCTTCGTTTTCATTGGATTTGTTTGTTTCATCGTCAGTATTTCTATCAACTTAACTTGCTTTGCTATTGTTGTAAATGCAGATTACTTTCAAGTTTTTTTTAGCGATGTTTTCAGTTCTGCTGATGTTACAAGTATGTTAAAAAGCTATCGATTAAGGGTGGTAAATCTAGAAAAAACTTCAGGCACCGAAATGCTGCGTTAATTTTGAAAAAAAATGATAATCAGAGGTTTGCATTTTTTAGCCGTTGACAACGGTACAAATGAAAATGAAACTGATAACGATGCTGAATTTTGGGTCAGTTTTCTCTTCAGCAAGTCAACTTCACGGTCAATTCTTAGACGTGTATGTAGTTCACTGGTATTTCCACTATTTGATCTTTTACACCTTGCAAGTTGATTTTCTTTATCATGCGGAAAATAAAACCACGCAGAACTTTGTCAACTCGTGTATATATTATATACATGTTTTATATTTATTATGCATATATATATATATATATATATATATATATATATATATATATATATATATATATATATATATATATATATATATATATATATATATATATATATATATATATATATATATATATATATATATATATATATATATATATATACATATACATCAGAGCTGGAGACTCGATTCAACCGACTCGAACTCGAGTCCGACTTAAGTCACACTAGTGAATCGACTCAAGACTCAACTTGGGTTTTACCCTGAGACTTGCGACTTGACTCGAGACTCGCTAATTTCGACTTAGCGACTTTAAAATTATTATTTTCCGTCTCTTCAAAAATGGGGCAATTTATCTTCTGTTTTAATTCAACTGTTTTTTAACTATTTTTTTTTTCGAATGTTTTTATTTTAACTTACGTTTAACTGGTTTGTAGTCTAAGCGAGATCCGAAGAAAAATATCACATTTAGGCTCTTTCGTTTTCAAAAAATTCCAACTTTTTTGTGTGCGTTCCGATTGGTTCATTTTTTCTTTAACTCATGAAATTTATTGTTTATAGATGTTCGTTGATTTTAATTTCTTATTTAAATTTTTTTTAATTCTTGACTTGACTTGAGACTTGACTTGACATGTCACAATATGACTTGAGACTTGACTTGAGACTTGAGACTTGACTTGAGACTTGCTCCAAAGCGACTCAAAAACAGCTCTGATAT